TAAAGCTGGAAACCATCATTCTCAGCATACTGACACAAGAACAGAAAACCAAACACCACATGTTCTCTCTCATAAATGGGTGTTGAACAGGGAGAACTCATGGACACAGGGAGGGAACATCACACACTGGGGCCTGCTGGGGCGTGTGGGGCTAGGGGAGGGATAGCAGGTGGTGGGGGGTTAGGGGATGGATAGAATTAGGAGAATTATCTAATGTAGATGACGGGGTGATAGATGCGGCAAACTACCGTGGCACGCGTATCCCTATGCAACAACCCTGTACATTCTGTACATGTACCCCAGAACTTAAAGTATAATAATGATAAAAAAAAAAGAGAGAGACAAGTTATTGCCTCCCAACTCTCCCAATTTATAATGGTGAAATGGGGATAGAACAATATTTATAAACATTATTCCTAAAATAAGAAAATGGGAGATGAGCAGCAATAACTAGTCCCTAACACCCAATCAAGAAAACCCAGCATTTCAGAAGTATAAGAGACTACCTCTGAAGTATAGTCCCTTATACTTCTGAAATGCTTCATTTTTTTTGATTGGGGTTTGAGGCTTATTTCTTGATTGAGGTTAAAGGCTGTGGTTCTTGGTTGAGGAAATCCATAAGGAATACCCTTAATTTATTGAAAGGGACATAGTGTGAATTAAGTCTTCTTGAAATTTTGGACTGTCCAAGGTTTTAACTAAAGGTTGTGCAGTTGCACCTCCACTTTTTTTGTTGTTGTTTATAAGACATACTTTCAGCCGCCTTGTTTGGCAGGCATTTCTTGCCACTTGGAAAGGCCAATAATTTTTTTAAAATCATCTACTTCTATTCATGTCTACCCTTTCCTCAATCTATCTCTCTTCTCTCACATTTTACTGCAAACTGCAAGAAGAAGCCAGGAAGCACCTGTAGCATGTAGCTATACAGTTGACTCTTGAACAACACAGGGGATACGGGGACTAACCCTCTGCGCAGCTGAAAATCCACAAATGACTTTTGACTTCTCAAAGCTTAACAATTAGTAGGCTACTGTTGACCGGCAGCCTTACAGATAACATATATAGTCAGTTATCACATATTTTGTATTTCTATCTGTTAAATACTGTATTATAAAGTAAGCCGGAGAAAGCATGTAAATAAGAAAATTGAAAGTAAGACAAAATATATTTACTATTTCTGAAGTGGAAGTAGATTGTCATAACGACCTTCATCCTTATTTTCTTCATATTGAGTAGTCTGAGTCGGAGGAGAAAAAGGAAGGGTTGGTCTTGGGCCTCAGGGGTGGCAGAGATGGAAGTGAGTCCACGTATAAGTGAAACTATGTAGTTTAAACCTGTGTTATTCAAAAATCAGCTATATATCCAATCTCATCTTTAAAAGCTCTGATTAGTGCATAAGCACAGGACTCAGTTTTGCTAATACTCGTTTCGTTTTCAGTAACTTTCCTCTGAACCCTCCCCAAGAGGGCTGAGGGCCTGGGCATCTTCAGATCCAGTTTTCTAACAATTGGTTCAGGGGGATTTAGATTTTCTCTCTCGTGCTTCTTAAAATCCTTCCAGCTTCTACTAACTTTCTGGTTTCAAAGCCAGTCACAGTATTTTTAGGTATGTGTTGAAGCAGCACACCATTTTCAAATACCAAACACCGTATTTGTTTTCTGTTGTGGGTGATAAATTATCTCAAGGTTTCCATGGGTCAGGAGTTTGGACATGGCTTACCTAGGTTCTCTGCTCAGGGATTTTACTAGCAAAAATCAAGGTTTTAACTAGGGCTTGACCTCATATAGTTCTCAAGGTCAATATACCTGGAGTTCATTTTGATTACTCATGCCAGCTTTGCATCCAAAAAATCTCTGAGTTTTTTTGGATGCAAAGCCAGAAAACTGCCACCTCTTCACTAATCCTTTAGTATTAGGGTATCTTAGGAGTCTCTGTTTCTGATTTAATGATACTGGACATGTTAGTATGTAAAGTGATGATAATAAAAAACATGCATGCCATAAGAATTGAGAAATGATTTGAAAAATAATTTAAATTAAATACAAATAAAAATTAAAAGTTATAACCATATATGTTATAGTTAATTTGTTCAGAAATTAATTGGTGGATTATTGTGAATCCAATATAATGTTAGAAATACTTATTTAAGGTTAAACAACATTAAAATACTCAAAATTGTGCAGTTTGACATTACAAACATAACTTTTCACCATGATGGATTGCCCTTTCTGCTGTTTAAATTCAGCCATTGGAATGCTGAATAAAACCAAGTATAGTAAAGATGGCTAGCAAATTAAATGAATAAATGTTTGATGAAGAAATAGTTGTTGAATATGAATTTTCCTTAGAGAAGGGCATGACTTGGGGAGAAAAGCTTACTTCAACAGATATCTTCTACATAGTTTTTTCTTACTGACACTCTTACAGAGAACTTCTGATTTTTAAAAATAAAAACTTGAATTCTTATTTTTATTTGACCTGGTTCTATAAAAACACAGTTAGAAAACTTCCAACAAAAGATTCTAATATTATGTTAGTATGCTGCCACGTAATATTGTGTTTTGCTGTTAATTCTGGACAATCTGCAGAGACTTTAGTTATTGTGACTGTATTATAAACCTGTAAATTGGAGACTGAATTGAAATAGAGTGCTCTGCCACATAACATGGAAAACTTTGAAGTAGTAACCTATATAATAAGTGAGAATACGTTTTGTATAACCACATATATATTTTTGACACATTCCTTCTCTAGTTAAGAGTATACTTTATTATTTCAAGAGCTCAGACATGAAAATGAATACCGCTGAAATTTTCTGTAAAATAATTGTTGCATTTTAAAACATTAGACACAGTGAGATTGGTAAAGTAGAGGTAGGATAGTGTGATTTAAAGTGAAGTGAAATATACGTGTCTTAGTAGAAATAAATATTATAAATTCTTTCTTGAATATATTTGAATGGATTGCTTCACTACATTTAAATAAATGCATACAACAAATTGTTTATTGGTGGCATTTCCTAGTGGACAATTTTTCTCAATATGCAAAGAACAATTATAACTTAATATTTTCTTGTCAGATATTAAACAGTTACATAAAGAGACTGTGTCACAATTATAGTCAGAGCTGTGCATTGGGCTATACGCACTGCAGGGGGTGCTGCTTTTCCTGTCTTAGCAATAGAGCCGTGATAAAATGATCAGCCATATGCTTTTTGCCTTATTTCCAAAAAGCCTATATTATTCTTAGCAGAAAATGTGAGCTATGTATAAATAGGTCCCCACATACTTAAACATGAGTTTCCATAGGGTAGAATATTCTAATAATTTAATTCTTAAAATTACTACTTGAAAATGTTTACTGCTTCTCACCCCAAATCATGTGAATATAAGTTGCAGTGTACATATTCTGCATTAGTAATGATTAACACCAGTTCCTAATGACAGCCCACCTGAACACTGTATCATCACTAGTTCCTGGAATTAAACTTGGAAATCAATCACATCAGATACCATTTATTTCTTTGTTTTAAGAAGGCCATTTTGGAAAAGGTCCATAGAGATGGTCTAGTAACCCTGAAGCTTATGAGTACTGTGTGTTCTAATAGAATCTGATAAGTAGATAGAAGATGATGTTAGATGATTGATAGGTAGATAGATAGTTAGACAGTTAGATAGATAGATATCGCCAAATTACTACAAATCTCATTTTTCTCATAGTACTTCCAGAACATCACAAGCTATTTTCTCATCTTAAGATTGCTGTTTCTCATTTCCCTGACTTTAAAGGACTCAGTCCTTAAATTTCACTCCTTAGGTAACCCCTTCCAGGCACTTCAGACTCCCTTCAACTCCAGATTTTTTTCTCCTAGATACCAGTCATCTATTGTGACACTTCTACTTTGATAAACATTGATACTTCTTAACTTCTGTCTCCATAGCACTTAAGATAACCTGATATACAACATATATTTGTGTATTCCTAGTACAAATAATAATGTTTGGCACATAGTAGATAATCAATAAATAATTGCTGAATGACTGACCTATTCCTAAAGTATTTGAGGCATCAATTTGACCTCCGTAAGTGTAATTGGTAACTGTTTTAGGAAATAGAAATCATATATTAAATCACATTGCAACTAAGGACATGGTAAACTGATTTGGCCTACAAAGATCAGAGAATAAGCCTAATTCTTAGGCCTTTTGCTTTTGGGTTCTGAAAGGGATTATTATCTTCTGAGAACATATATTTACCTCTTACTTTTCTTCTTTCAATATTGACTTCACAATGTTAACACTTCAATCCGATAGGCATCATGTTTTGTATATATACAACATATATATTATTTTGTATAATGCATGTAATATATACATTAGGGATTAAATCAAGTTTTACTTAATTTATTGGAATATCTAATGGTCACTATTCTAGAACTATATATATTTTTATTGATTTACCATACTCTTGTTAATTATATTATACTTTAGGTTATACTGAACTTTCTTTCTTGCATCTCTATTCTCATCTGTCATATTCTCTTTGCTTGAAAGTGTGGTAGTTATTAAAATCATGAAACATTAAACTTATTAAAATAACTTTTATAAATATTACTTAATATGCAAAATCACTAAAATATATTTAAATATTGACCATGTTTAAGGCACACTACTAAGTGTTTAAATATATTATAACACTGAAGTTAAAATTTCATGTTTTGAAGTAACAAGGTCAAAGGACAAGACTAAATTGCCTATATCTACATGGCTAACACACGAGAGAGGTAAAATTCTAACTGGATATACTCTTAAAACATCATGCCCTAAAAGGAAAAAAAAATCTAGAAGTTCAAATCTCTCAAAAATTTATTTCTTCAAAAATGTATTTGCTATCCAAACTCAGTTCTGTTTAATGTGTAACGTAACAAATATGCTTTAACTATGCATAGATTTATACTTGTTGAAATGTATGTTTTATATTTTTCTTTTATTTTTCTGCAGGACTGAACCCCTGCAATATATAAGGAGAACACATATCATCAAACATTCCTGAAGTGATTTATAAGGTAAAATTTTTAATTTCTGTTATAAATTTATAAATTTCTGTTCAAAATATTATAGAAATGTCAAAATTATTGTCATAGTTTCTCTTAAGGATCTTCTAGAGTTATAATGAATTATTTAGCAATTTCGTATCTTCTGTGTTTTAAAATCACTCTTTAAGAAACTCAACTTTTATTATATATATGGGGGTATATGTGCAAGTTTGTTACCTGGGTATATTGTACCCAGGTAGTGAGAGTAGTAGCCAGTAAGCAGTTTTTCAATGCAACCTCCTTCTTCTTCCCCCCATCTTCCGATGGTCTTCCATGTCTTTTGTTTCCTTATTTATGCTCATGTAAATTCAATCTTTAGCTCTCATTTATAAGTGATATCTTGTGGTATTTATTTGTTGTTGTTGTTGTTCCTGATTTATTTGCTTAAAATTACGGCCTTCAGTTCCATCCATGTTGCTGGAGAGGACATCATTTTATTCTTTTTTAGGGCTGCATAGTATTCCATGGTATATATATATACCACAGTTTTTTTAAATCCGGTCTACCATTAATGGGCACCTAGGTTGATTCTATGCCTTTGCTATTGTGCCTAGTGTTGTGATGAACATACAAGTTCTTGTGTCTTTTGGTATAATGATCTGTTTTCCTTTCGGTATATACACAATAATGCAATTTCTGGATTGAAAGGTAGCTCTGTTTCAAGTTATTTGAGAACTCTCCAAACTTGTTGCCACAGTGGCTGAACATAATTTACATTCCTTCCAACATGTATAAGAGTTCTCTTTTCTTTATAGCCTTGCCAGGATTTGTTGTGTTTTGACTTTTTAATAATAGGCATTCTGACTGGTGTGAGATGGTATCTCATTGTGGTTTTGATTTTCAGTTCTCTGATGATTAGTGGTGATGAAGATTTCTTCATAAGTTTGTTGACCATCTGTGTGTCCTCTTTTCAGAAGTGTGTGTTTATGTCCTTTGCCCACTTTTTAATGACATTATTTGTTTTTTTCATGTTGATTTAAGTTCCTTATAAATCATGGATATTGGACCATTGTTGAATGCATAGTTTGTGAAAATTTTCTCCCATTCTATATGGTATTTGTTTACTCTGATATATATGTGTGTGTGTGTGTGTGTGTGTGTGTGTGTATGTGTGTGTGTGTGTGTGTGTGTGTATTTGCTGTGCAGAAATTCTTCAGTTTATTTAGGTCCCATTTGTCTTTTTGTTGTTGTTGGCAATTGCTTTGGGGACTTAATTCAAAATTATTTGCCAAGGACAATGCTGAGAAGAGTATTTCCTGTTTTCTTCTAAGCTTTTTATAGTTTGAGGTCTTATATTTAGGTTTTTAATTTAGTGAAAGGTAGCATCCAGGTTCATTCTTCTGCGTAAGGCTAACCAGTTATCACAGTACCGTCTCATGAATAAGGAGTCCTTACCCATTTGCTTGAACCTGTCATCCTTGTTGAATACCAGATGATTGTAGATGCATGCCTGTCTGAGTTTTTATTCTGTATCATTGGTGCATGAGTCTGTTTTTATACCAGCATCATGCTGTTTTGTTTGCTGTAGCCTTGTAATTTATTAATTTAATTAGTGTGTTGCCTCCAGCTTTGTTCTTTTTTCTTAGAATTGCTTTGGTTCTTTTTTGGTTTCATATGAATTTTAGAATAGTTTATTCTAATTCAGTGAAGAATAACATTGGTAGTTTGATAAGAATAGCATTGCATCTGTAAGTTGCTTTGGGTAGTATGGCCATTTTAATGATATTGATTATTTCAGTCCATGATTATGAAATGTTTTCCCATTTATTTGTGTTGTCTTTAATTATTTTCAGCATCATTTCATTCCCCTTGTAGAGATCTGTCACCTTCCTGGTTAGCTGTTTTCCTGGGTGTTCCATTTTTTGTTGGTGCTAATGTAAATGAGATTGTATTCTTGATTTGACTCTCAGCCTGAATGTTGCCGGTGTATAGAAATGTTATCGATTTTTGTATATTGATTTTGTATCCTCAAACCTTGCTAAATTGTTTATCAGTTCTAGTAGCCTTTTATGGAGTCTTTAGGGTTTTCTAAGCATAGAATATACTGTCAGCAAAAAGACATAGTTTGACTTCTTCTTTTCCTATTTGGATGCATTTTATTTCTTTCTCTTGCCTGAGTGCTCTGACTAGCACTTGTAGTACTATGCTGAATAATAATGGTGAAAATGGGCTTTCTTGCCTAGTTCCAGTTGTCAAGGGAAATGATTCCAGCTGTTTCCATTAAGTATGATACTGGCTGTGAGTTTGTCATATATAGCTTTTATTAATATCTGGTACATGCAATATACCAGAAAAAAAAATTTTTTTGAGATGGATTCTTGATATGTCATCCAGGCTAGAGTGCAATGGCACAGTCTAGGCTCATTGCAACCTCCACCTCCTGGGTTCAAGGGATTCTCCTGCCTCAACCTCCTGAGTAGCTGGGAATACAGGCATGTGACACCACACTCAGCTAGTTTTTTGTAAGTTTAGTGGAGAATGGGGTTTCACCATATTGGCCAGGCTAGTCTCAAACTCCTGATCTTGTGATCCACCTGCCTTGGCCACCAAAAGTCCTGGGATTACACACATGAGCCACTTGGTTCAGCCCAGTTTTCTTTGTTTTTGATTTACTTAGATTTGCTTTATGACCAACCATGTGATTGATCTTAGAATATGTTATGTGTAACGATGTGAAGAATGTAAATTCTTTGGTTGTTAAATGAAATGTTCTATAAATGTTTACTTGCTCCAATTGGCTAATTATCAAGTTTAAATCCAGAGTTTATTAGTTTTTTGTCTCAATGGTCTGTGTAATGTTGTCAGGGGGTGTTGAAGCCTCCCATTTTTATTATGAGGTTGTTTAAGTCTTTTCATAGCCAAGAAGAACATGGCTTATGAATCTGTGTGCCCCAATGTTAGGTGCATATATATTCAGGATAGTTAACTCTTCTTGTTGAACCATATTATTAATCGTAATATAATGCATTTTATCATCTTTTGTAAATTTGATTAGCTTATAGTCTGTTCTATCTAATATAAGAATAGTGAATACCTCTCTTTTTTGTTTTCCATTTGCATAGCAGATCTTTCTTCACTTCTTAACTTTGATGTCATTATATGTGATATGTATCTCTTTAAGATAACAGGTGGTTGGGTCTTACCCTTTTATCTAGCTTGCCACTCTATGCTTTTAAGTAAGGTTTTAGCCCATTTACATTCAAGGGTAGTACAAATATGTGTGATTTTGATTGTGTCACTGTTTCGTTAGCTGGATGTTACATAGACTTGATTGCATAGTTGCTTTATGGTGCATGTGGACTACGTGCTTAAGGGTATTTTTTTGTGTGTGGTAGCAGACATCATTCTTTTAGTTCCATGTTTAGCACTCCATTAAGAACCTCTGGTAAGGCTGCTCTATTTGAAATAAATTCCCTCAGTATTCACTTATCTAACTAAGGTTTATTTCTTCTGCCCCTGTGAAGTGAGTTTGGTGGGAAATACAATTCTTGGTTGCAATTTCCTTTCTTTAGGAATGCTAACAGTAGGCTGGATGCAGTGGCTCACACCTGTAATCACAACACTTTAGGTGGCCAAGGCAGGTGGATCACCTGAGGTCAGGAGTTTGAGACCAGTCTGGCCAACATGGTGAAACCTTGTCTCTACTAAAAATACAAAAATTAGCTGGGTGTGGTAGTACTTGCCTATAATCCCAGCTACTCGGGAGGCTGAGGTGGAAGAATTGCTTGAACCCGTGAGGCAGAGGTTGCAGTGAGTCAAGATCATGCCACTGCACTCTGGCCTGGGTGACAGAGCTAGACTCCCTCTCCCCCCACCCCCCCAAAAATTATGCTGAAAATAGGTATCGATCTCTTCTGACTTGTAAAGTTTTTGATGATATGTCTGCTGCTAGCCTCATGGGTTCCCTTTGTACATGACTTGATACTTCTCTCTAGTTTCCTTTAAGATTTTTTTCTTTTGTGATGACCTTTGTGAATCTAATGACTGTGTTCCCTGGGGACTGTCATCTTGTATCGTATCTAGCTGAGTTTCTCAGTGTTTGTTGGATTTGTATGTCAACCTCTAGGGAAATTAAAGAAATTTTTGTGAACTATATCTCCAAATATATATTCAAGCTGCTTATTCTCTTCCCTTCACTCTCAGGAATACCAATCCCTCATAGATTTGTTCTCCATGTATAATCCCCTATTGCTTGGAGTTTTCGTTTAACTTTTTACATTCTTTTTAAATTTTTGTCTGAGTTAATTCCAGGAACCAATCTTCAAGCTCTGAGAGTCTTTCCTCAGTGAATTTTTCAGCCCTAGAAATTAAGTATGGTTCTTTAAAAAAAAAATGACTCTTTCTTCATTCAGCTCTCGGATCATTTTACTGGATTCTTTGGATCCCTTGGATGGAGTTACAACTTCCTCCTGAATCTTGCTGGGCTTTCTTGGCATCCAGGTTCTGAATTCTGTGTCTATCATTTTAGTTACTTCAAACCAGTTAAGACCCATTGCTGAAGAACTAGTAGACATCTTTAGAGGTAAGCAGACACTCTGGCTTGAATTTCCAGACTTCTTCTGCTGATTCTTCCTCAGCTTGGAGTATTGGCGTTTCTTTATCTGTGGTGTATGTTGACTATAGTTAGTTGGCATTGTTTCTGGATACTTTCAGAGGGCCAGTGCTCTGTACAAGATCTTTCTGTGTGTGTGAATTCTTTTGCCTAGCTTCACAGGCATACATATTAGCAGGATAATTTTTGGAGTTGTGGTTTGTGATGCAACCTAGTAGATGACACTTTAGTGTAATGGCTTGTAGCTAGGATACCACCCAGCTGCACAGAATGGTTGTATCTAGTCAGCCATCTTTTCCTTCCCTCCCCTAAAATTGCTCTTTTTAAAAATGTCATTTAACCCATTCTTTTCTCAAATGAATAATTAAGCATTTTCTTAGTGGTGCACTTTTCAAATGTCATAGGACATAGGACCAGC